ATCTGTGTGCACCAGAGGATGTGATTAATCTGTGTGCACCAGAGGATGTGATTAATCTGTGTGCACCAGAGGATGTGATTAATCTGTGTGCACCAGAGGATGTGATTAATCTGTGTGCACCAGAGGATGTGATTAATCTGTGTGCACCAGAGGATGTGATTAATCTGTGTGCACCAGAGGATGTGATTAATCTGTGTGCACCAGAGGATGTGATTAATCTGTGTGCACCAGAGGATGTGATTGATCTGTGTGCACCAGAGGATGTGATTGATCTGTGTGCACCAGAGGATGTGATTGATCTGTGTGCACCAGAGGATGTGATTGATCTGTGTGCACCAGCGGATGTGATTTATCTGTGTGCACCAGAGGATGTGATTGATTTGTGTGCTTTGCATTCCCTAATGTTGCCATTGTGATTGCTTCATGCAGTAAGGCATGCCCCTAGATCAGGGGTAGGCAACCTTAAAGAGGTGGAGATCTACCTGAACAACATGGGAGTCAATGATCACTGGGCACAGTGTCCCCCAGTGCCGCCTCCTCACACTTCTTATTGCCATACTACCATGTTGCAATCGCACGGCAATTATGGGTTTAAATCAGCTGGTGAAGAGGCAACATATCACCTCCTCACCACCTGTCAAGCACACTCAGATCGCTTTTCAGAGGAGCAGCAGTGCCTGCTGTACTTATGAATAAGGCCTTAGTTGCATTCACCAGTGGCAACCTTAGAGCTCATTCACGCGCATAGTTGGGGTAGGGGTGGTAAAACCCTGCGGTTGAGTCGCCGTTTTACCGCCCCCCAATCCCTACCACCTTTAGCAGCCATAGGTTTACACATGCCGCAGTAGGAATTAAACCCCCTGCTGCTTTTGGTGGGTGCTACCTCTTGCCAATCAAGACCCATTCAGGTGATTGGAGCCACTCTGCAAGCACCCCGCAACTGCATTCTTCTGCGGGGTCCAAGGAGTTAAAGCAGGTGGTGAAAAAGCAACACACCACTGCCTGCTTTAACTCCTTGTTTGCTGTATTGCACAAGGTTGCAGGGCACTTGCAGGGCAGCCTCATTCACTTCTGAATGAGTCATGTTTGGCTGGTGCTAAAGCCACAACCATGACAGGGTGTATAACTCATGCAGCAGCTACAACTTGTGTACACCAGTGGCCACTGCAGCTAAAGAGGGTGTGATTGGGGCAGGGGTGGTAAAAACATGTCTTAACTATGAGGTTTTACAATCCCCCCCATGTTAGCTTTACTCTAGACTTCTATTACATCCTGCAGGTGTGGGGCACTTTCTGAAAGCACACCAAATTTCTGAATGCAAAAAGTGCACCAAATCCGCAGGATATAATAAAAGTCTATGGCTAAGGTCAGCAAGCCCGCAGGATAACTGCAGGTACACTGCACTGCACCCGCGGGGTTGGTAAATTACAGCGCACCAATGTGAAAGAAGCCCTATACTAGTATGCCCAGTGTATTGCTTCACACCGACTTTCGTGCTGCTGGCACCACTTTGGAGGCCTCTAGCCGGATAAGAGGTGGAGTGCAGTTGGTATCACTCTGCATGGGACAGGAGCCAGCATTACAGAGGAGGCATCGGCTTATGTGGCTCTTGTTCCCTACTACAGCTCCAACTTTACAAGTACAGGCGTACCTCGGTTTACGAACACCTCGGTTAATGTAATTTTCGTTTTATGAATGGAAATCCATTGAAAATAATGGCTCAGTTTACAAATTTTTTTCGCAATACGAACAGATTACTTGGTTTGAATGCATTTATGAATTAATTTTTAATCATGTCCCTGTACAGTATTTATGCCTTTAAAGTGCACTTTATAAAGAGTTTTGAACAGATAAAAGCCCTTTTTTTTTTTTTACTTTTTTTAACCTCCGGAATGGATTAATTGGTTTTCAATGCATTCCTATGGGAAACCGCGTTTCGGTTTACGAATTTTTTGCAATATGAACGGATTAATTGGTTTTCAATGCATTTACGAATTAATTTTTAATCATGTCCCTGTACAGTATTTATGCCTTTAAAGTGCACTTTATAAATAGTTTTGAACAGATAAAAGACTTTTTTTTTTTAACTTTTTTCTGACCTCCGGAACAGATTAATTGCTTTTCAATGCATTCCTATGGGAAACCGCGTTTCAGTTTACGAATTTTTTTTTTTTTTTAAACTTTTTTCTGACGCAATCCGAAAAGTCTTGCAGAATGCATTAAATTCGTAAACCGAGGTACGCCTGTAGTCTCCCTGCACTGCACTCTGTTTGATGCTCTGGGATGGTGGGTCAGCAAGCCCAGGTCGCAATCTACCAGTTACCTAGCCGAGATCTACTGGTTGCAGACCACCATCCTAAAGGGAATGGCACTCACTGTGCAGTAAGAACCAACTGAAAGACAAATGGGAGGCATTTGTGACATTCTATTTTTTACATGAGGCCACTAATAGGAATCAAGTAGCAGGAATCTCCTGGTTTCTTATTGCAGCTGGGGTTAAAATGAGACCTAAAGTAGAACTATTGGCAAAACTTTTTTTTTTTTCATTTTGGATAGAACAAGGAAGGGTCATAACCCCTGTTATGTTTTTTGTAATCTGTGTCCCATCGGGGAGATTTCCCTTCGTTTATTGACCCATAGACAAAAAGGAAGTGAGAAGAAATCCCTACGAATTATAGGCAGCACTTGGGGACCTCCAGGTCGCCAGGAATAGTGTCCCCATTGGAAGATTTCTCCTCTATTACTTTTCTGGGGACAACCCAAAATGTGGGTTTTTCTTTTACTTTCACTTTCAATGATAATGGTAAACAGGACAAATAGAGAGAGTAAATCTCCCTAATGGGGGCACAGCCAGCAATAAAGACTGACAGGGGGTCTAATCCCACTCCACTCCATTCAAAACTAAAAAAAAATAAATTTGCCTTTAGTTATTCTTTAACCCCTTGACGCCGAGCGCACGCAAATATGCGTCCTCTCTGCATCTGGGCCTTGACACCGAGCGGCCGCATGTTTGCATGCAATTAGAAAATACATATGTGCTGAGAGCACACACCCTGCGCGCTCCCAGCACATATGTCCGTGACTCACGGAAAGGTCCCGATCTCCCCCTTTTGATCGGGACCTTTTCCGATCATGTAACCGCCGTGACGGCGAATCATGGCGGTCACATGACCCTAAAACCCCGCTCGCCTCCAGGCTTCTGAAACTCTTAAAGGGCCGGGAGGCGCCGGCGTGAAGAGGTTAAACACGTTTTGTTTTGATGCACTTGAAATATTTTTCGGCGCATATGTCCGTGACTCACGGAAAGGTCCCGATCTCCCCTTTTGATCGGGATCTTTTCTGATCATGTAACCGCCGTGACGGCGAATCACGGCGGTCACATGACCCTAAAACCTCGCTCGCCTCCTGGCTTCTGAAACTCTTAAAGGGCCGGGAGGCGCCGGCGTGAAGAGGTTAAACACGTTTTGTTTTTGATGCACTTGAAATATTTTTTCGGCGCATATGTCCGTGACTCACGGAAAGGTCCCGATCTCCCCTTTTGATCGGGACCTTTTCCGATCATGTAACCACCGTGATGGCGAATCACGGCGGTCACATGACCCTAAAACCCCGCTAGCCTCCTGGCTTCTGAAACTCTTAAAGGGCCGGGAGGCGCCGGCGCGAAGAGGTTAAACACGTTTTGTTTTGATGCACTTGAAATATTTTTCGGTGCATATGTCCGTGACTCACGGAAAGGTCCCGATCTCCCCTTTTGATCGGGACCTTTTCCGATCATGTAACCCCGTGACGGCAAATCACGGCAGTCACATGACCCTAAAACCTCGCTCGCCTCCTGGCTTCTTAAACTCTTAAAGGGCCGGGAGGCGCCGGCGCGAAGAGGTTAAACGCGTTTTGTTTTGATGCACTTGAGAATATTTTTAGCGGTTCTTAGCGGCTGAAACGCTAAGAACAGATTTGCTCACCTACCTAACCTAAAGCAACAACTTTATTTTACAAGTCAATGGTCCCATTAAGTCTGTTAAAATGATACTTTAGCCTCAGCATGCTGACTTTCAATGGTAATGTTTTAGCAAAAGATCTTTCTAATGGCAGTTTGCAGTTTTTGCGTGAAATGACACTAGCGTGATATTAAGCGGTGGGCCGTTCTTCAAACCAAAAGCCAGTTTCAGCCCCTGCCAAGACAAAGACGGACTGTTTACATCATGCTGTCTTAAAAGGTTATTTTTTGTTTCAAGTCACTGTATCAGATGGCGATATATTAAACTGGTGTATGAAGTCAGCCTAGTAAGCAGGTACATGGAAATCAGAATTCACAGGACTCTGTGGAGTTGGAGGACAAAGAGCTCTCTGAGTCATCATTATTTCTTTTGGACTGGGCTAAAACAAGGCAGCAGCTGCTGTGTAAAGTTTAGCTTGGACCGCAGCTCTGGATGCTATAACCATTTATTTCAATACGAATCATTCTGGGTACATAACTATAGAGTACAATCACAGCCTTTCTTTGATATTACAAAGAATATAAATACATTGCCCTTGGGATGCATTCTTTATTTGGTGACGTTAGAAGATTTGTAATTTCGCCGTTCTAGGTGGTACTTGTATATACATACTATATATATTTTTAGGTTTAGGTATAGGGTTTATGTGAACACGCACAGGGAGGATTACATGGGGGTTAAACTGTAATTTTATACTGTTGAATGTGTATCTACTCCTGCAAAGGGCAAATGGCACCTATTATTAAAGCTGATGTAGGGGACCTACGTCATATGATTAGCATAGGTTTGGATTAATAACATCACTCCAGGAAAAATAAAATATTAGAAAGAGATATCAAATGCCTACACATCTTCATTCCAGTAAGCATTTCCCTCCTTCGCTGCAGGTCCCAAGACTAATGCTATGGCATTGATCAGTCCTTGAGAGCACTCCTCTCGATGCCGCTCACAAGAGTCGCAACTGCAGAGGAGGCATCAGGAATCAATGCATACTCAAAACAACATTGGGTGGATACAGGGGCGGACTGACCATTTGGAAACCCGGACACTGCCCGAGGGCCCGGGGTCAGTAGGGGGGCCCATGAGATGCCCCTGGTACCTTTTTCATAGGCTTTTTTGAGTTTGGGCAAGGACACAGGGGCCCCATGATCCCCTATTGCCCAGGGGCCCCATGAGTTGTCAGTCCACCCCTGGGTGGGTATACCTCTGCCACAATATTGATCTGCAGTGGAACCCCATTTGAGTAATCCTTTATTATGATTTTTCAGAGTGGTGCAGGAAAGCATATTGTTAATTACTCCATTGACCCCCACAGTTCCTCCTCTTCTGTCTGTCCCAGGCTCTTGTATGTGATATCACCTGGGATGGACAAGAGGAGGGCTAGCAGGGATCAAGGGGAAGAGGCATGTTACAACAGCAGCTTCCCTGCGCTGCTCTGCATGTGTTTGTTAATCATTGTTGTATCTACAGCTTGCTGATCAAATCCAATGTTCCGTGACCTGTGGATGCAAAATTATTTTTCAGGGGATCCCCAAGATTGCAAACTTTTTGCCATGGGTTCCTCAAAGGTAAAAAGGTTGAGAAACACTGACTTACAGCATGCATTGCCAACAAGAATTGAAATATATCTGCCCAAATCGTAAAAGAATAAAAATGAGACCCTACGAGTAACTAGGCATTGAGCAGGAGTCATGAACTGACTACACAAAGAAGACCTGGTAGTTACTATAAAAAATGGGACTATAAAAGTTCCATTGAAATGGCATATGCATCTTATTGCTATTATGCAATTAATTGAATTATTTTATGTTTTTATTATAGATCTGGTGCCTGAAGAATGATCAAAATGCGTTCATTGTGAATAATCGAAATGTGTTGGTTGTGTCCCGAAATTGGGGGACTTTTGCAGACGAGTCAAGCGCTAGGTAATTGATATAATTCTCCCCTTTTGGGATTTATGGATGTTCTTCAAGACTGTATGGGTATTTTAAGTACAGATTATATGAGGTATCAGCCACTATACAATTTTATGTAGTAATTATGTATTTTAGATTGTATATAAAGAGATATGGTTTAAGATTTATGTTTATAATGTACTTGCCTAAAAAATCCCATTGTAAAAAAATGGAACTGTATGTAAACAAATCCAGAGGATGAAAGGGTTCTCAGGAAAAGAAAGGCAATTATTTGACTTCTTGAACTTCTTTCTATAAGGCTGCATGCCCACGGCTGTACAGGCCATCCACACGCATGGCTGAAACTCTGAATACAGAAAGTGTGTGTTCAGAGCATAGGTCAGTGTGTTTGTGGGTGCTCTATGCACCCCCTCATGCACAACATGCTTACATCTTCTAATTCATAACAAGGAAAGTGATTATGCAGACTCTGCGAGCTGTATAGCTCCTGTACAACTCATGTGGATGAAGCCTATCAGCTTTTTAAAAACATATTCTATAATGCTTTAATTATATGCCATATAAACATTTCCTTTCTTACTGTTATAGCTGCAAGCATTTTCTATATGCTGTTATAGCTGCAAGCATTTTCTATCTGTACCCCCAAATCAAGGTTCTTTTATTCACTTTAAAACAAAAATGGCTGCTAAAGTGATTGGACAATGAAAGAGAAGAAGCACACTGATGAGGTCAACTCTGTGCTCTTCCCTCCTGTAAGTCTGACATGCACTGTGCTAGGCTGAAGAGCTCTGAATCACTCAGATTGTCACCTGTCCCCTTCTTACTGTGAGTGCTGCTGTACAGGGGAATAGAAGTAAATTATATCAAGAGGGATCTAGGCACATGTGCTATTTGTATGTACAAAATATATTTTATACGTTTTTTTAATAAATAAACTGAATTAGTCCTCATGCACACTGGACGTTTTTACAGCTGCTGTTTTTGTCTTTTGACGTTTTTTTCTACAGCCAGTAAACTCCCCAGCATGTTATCCTATGTGTCCATGCACACATAGACTGTCATCAATGTTTTTTGGCAGGGGCGTTTTTTGGCTGGAAACAAACCCCAGAAATAGTGGGTTTCTAGAAGAGTTTTTTAGCTGTAAAAACACTCTAACGCTGAAAAACGCAGCAAAACGTGGTAAAATGCAGTAAATCACAGAAAATCGCGGCAAACCAGTGTTTTTTTTGGACTTTTTTGACGAAAAAAAAATATTTTTTTGATAAAAAAAAACCTCTAAAACGCAAAAAAAAACAGCAAAACGCTAATACAAAAAAAGCTAAAAAACGCTGAAACTTTACACTTTAACGACTTTACACAGCTAACATTACCAGAGATATTAAAACGTCCAGTGTGCATGGAGCCTTAAAATGTGGTTTTGTAACTGAAGTTCCACTTTCAACTGGTAAAGGCATCAGTAAACCATGCATGAGACAGGAACAGCCAGGAACATCTCAAGCAGGTTTGTCCTGCACATTTATTCAGCACCAAATAAACAGTCTCAACATAAGAGGGCTTTGTTATACAATTCCATAGACTAAAACAAATACAACATCTCTTCCTTCAAGCCACTAACTAAACTCAGGTTAATTCCTGACTAAGGCTGGCCATACACTATGTACGTATGTACTATACACTGTGCAAGGGCCTGCTTAACCTCCCTAGCGGTAGGATTATGTCAGTATTTCTGTGCTCAAAGCGGTACATTTTTTTTTGCATGGAAATATGTATTTTTTTTATTATTGACCTGTAATTTTTAGGAATAACTCACTGAAATCTGTCCAAACAAGAGTCTAGTAAACATTCTGGATATGATAAAACTTGAAACACGAAATCATAAATTATAATATAATAAATAATCATAAAAAATAATAATATAATAATAAATGTAATTCAATAATATAATCAAACCAAAAACACTGAAATTTGAAATAGAGCGCCAAGTTTGCACATCACTGAGCAAAGTCACAGAATCGTTTTCAGTGTCTGATGACGAATTTCCCCACAAATCATTATCACTCAATTCTGCAAGTGGTTCTGATTTACTATTGCTGTTCCTCTAGCTGCTCTAAAACCGCATTTGACCTAAAGGGACGCTTTTTGGACGCCATGGACATTTGTCAGTTTCCAGGAAGAAAGAACAGTAAAAATGCAGGCAGGGCGCAGGACAAAGCACTCGGGATAAAAATGTATGTGAAATGGTTTGATACAGTAATGTTTTACTATGTGATTTTAGTGTATTAGTGAATGTCACTTTTTAAAATTTTCAAATCTACAGCCGGTTCCGGCCCCCCGTACATCCCGACACTCGCAGGGACCGGAACCTGGAAGACGGATACCGGCATCGGCGGGAGGAGATGGTGGGGGATGCTGCAGGGGACACATCGCAGGAGCGAAGGACAAGGTAAATACTGCAGGGAATCCCTGAGCAGTGCTGCAAGATATTCCCGAGTGTAGCTCGGGGTTACCACTTTTGGTACTGAAACTTTACCCCAAGCTACACTCGTGAATACCGCCAGGGGGGTTAATTGGATACATTTGAAAGTGTTGTTTAGGTTTGACCTCACACTATATGGTTTTTGGTAAATCTAAAGCAATTTTCTATAGAGAATTGTATAATGTGTGGCCAGCCTAACAGAGTGCCCTCCAATGGGTTCCCCAACACAAACAGGCAGCACTTGTGCTATTTTAGTGTTCTGTTAGCACTCAGCAGCAAGCTCAAAAGAGCAAGAGATAGCCATGAGCATAAGTCAGCTCACATACACTATAAAGCCAAAAGTATTGGGCCAGCCCTGCAAATCATGTGATTCAGGTGTTCCAATCACCTCCATGGCCACAGGTGTATACAATCAAGCATCTAGGCATGCAGACTGCTTCTACAAACATTTGTGAAAGAATGGGTCGCTCTCAGGAGTAGACATGTGCAAAATGAAAAAAATTGTTTTGTTTCGTTTCAATTCGAAATCTAACACATTTCATGTAGTTGGATTCGGTAAAATCGTTCCATTCGTTTTCGGGATTTGTTTTTGTAATTCATATTCAAATTCTATTAGAAAAAATTTCAACCAAATTCAAAAAGTCATTCACATTTGAAACTGGTTAAACTGAATTTGAAATCGAGTCAACAAAGTTCAAAAAGTTGATCGAAATCGAAAAGATTTCAACCGAATTTGAAAAAAGCCAACCAAATTCGAACAATTAAGCTGGCCATACACATGTAGATTTTCGTCCGAGAACCCATATGGAAGAAAAATATATTTGAAATGCTACAATTTTTAAAAATATATATTTGTTAAATATATTCTTCAGATTTTTTTTTAACATATAAAAAAGTAAGTTTAACATATATTTTTTACATATATTTGTAAATGCATTCCAAAAATGTGGATTTGTATTTTTAAAAAATATTTTTCATATATATATATATATATATATATATATATATATATATAGATATATATATATATTTTTTTTTTTTTTTTTTTTTTTATTTTTTTTTATAAATATATTGAACTTGGCCAAAATTGTAGCATTTCAAATATATGTCAATATATTTGGCAACAATATTTTTAAGATATATTTCAAATATATTTTTCTTCCTCTTCCATGTGGGATTATTAATTTCAAGAATATTGATTTGATTTTGTAACCTTTAGTGGGGTCAAAATGATTTTTGTTTTCGACAGCAGTGACAGAAATATTCGAAGGGACAGGAAGGAAACTTTTCACCACCAAAAGAATTTTCGGACAGTATATGTGATTCTCATTCAGAAATTACATTCATTTATAATCGATCAAAGCAAAAGACAATTTCTGAACGACATTCGTCCATTCATTGAATGTGCAAACAATTTTCGTACAACTTTTCTTACGAATATCCTCGGCCAAAAATCTACATGTGTATGGTCAGCTTAAGGCTGGCCATACACATGTAGATTTTCAGCCGAGAATATTAGTTTCAAGAATATTCATTTGATTTTCTAATCGTTAAGCTGGCCATACACGTATAGATTTTCGTTCGAGAATTTTAATTTCAGGAATATTCATTTGACTTTCTAATCGTTAGTGGGGTCAAATCGATGTTTGTTTTCGACAACAGTGACGGGAAAATTCAAAGGGGCAGGAAGAAAAACGTTTCTCGAGCAAACAAATTTTCGGCTAGTGTATGTGGTTATCGTTCAGAAATTACATTCATTTTAAAATCGAGTGTTAAAAGCAATTTTCGAATCGAACGACATTCATCCATTCATCCAATTTGCAAAGAATTTTCTCAGCCGAAAAGCTACACGTGTATGGCCAGCTTAAATCAAGGGGAAAAAAAAAAAAACATTTTAATTTCGTGTTTCGACTGAAATTTTTTCTAAATCAGTCAAAATTGTTTCGAACTTGAATAAGGCTAGCCATACATGTGTAGATTTTCATCGTTTCAAGAATATTTGTTTGATTTCCTAATCAGTAGTGGGGTCAAATCAATGTTCATTTTCAACGGCAGTGATGGAAAAATTTTTGAAGGGGCAGAAGAAAAACTGTAGCTGCTGACTTTTAAAAAACAGACACTCACCCAGGGGCGTGTTTGGACATTTGGAAACTCGGGCAGTGCCCGAGGGCCCGGGGTCAGTAGGGGCCCCATGAGATGCCCCTGGTACCTTTTTCATAGGCTTTTTTGAGTTTGGGAAGGACACAGGGGCCCCATGATCCCCTATTGCCCGGGGGCCCCATGAGTTGTCAGTCCGCCCCTGCACTCACCTGTCCCTCAATCCCACTCTGTCCGCTCTGCAGCCTGTCTCACAGCTTGCAGATTCACAGCCGGGTGCCCACTGCGCATGCGCGAGTAGCGCTGTACTTTGTGAATGGTCCTGTAGTCTTCTGGGACCTGTCAGGTATCCCAGAAGACTACAGGGAGGAAAACTTCCACTTCTGATCGCCTTAGGCAAATGCAACGGAAGTGGGAGCGGGTAGCTGTCAATTTTGGGTACCCCCTCCACTCCCCAAATGTGCCAATCCTTAACAGGGAGCAGGGGACCAGTCCTTAAAGCAGGACTTCCCCTTTTGGGTGGAGCTCCGCTTTAAATTTGTTATTGAATGTTTGTTCGATTTTGTTTTTGAATTCAAATTTGTTTTCCATTTTATTTTCGAATTTGAATTTGTGCTTGAATAGAATTTTGGCCAAATTTCGATTCGCTATTTCAGATTCGTTTAAATTTGTTATTTTTGTAATTTGAAATTCTGATACATCCAAATCTCTGAATAATGAAAAAATGCATTTGAAATTCGATTGAAAACTAAACGAACCGCACATACCTAGTCAGGAGCTCAGTGAATTCAAGCATGGTACCGTGATAGGTTGCCACCTGTGCAATAACTCCATCCGTGACATTTCCTTCTAATAAATGTTCCACAATCAGCTATTAGTGGTATTATAATAAAGTGGAAGTAACTGGGAACCACAGCAACTCTGCTGCAAAGTGGTAGGCCACGTAAAATGACAGAACGGGGTAAAGCAGTGGAGACGTGTTCTCTGGAGTGACAAATCACACTTCTCTGTCTGGCAATCTGATGGACGTGTCTGGGTTTGGTGGTGGCCAGGAGAACGGTACTTGCCTGACTGCATTGTGCCAAGTGTACAGTTTGGTGGAGGGGGAGGGATTATGGAGTGGGGTTGTTTTTCAGGGGTTGGGCTTGGCCCTTAGTTACAGTGAAGGGAACTCTTAAGGCGTCAGCATACAAGACATTTTGGACAATTTCATGCTCCCACCTTTGTGGGAACAGTTTGGGGATGGCCTCTTCCTGTTCCAACATGACTTCGCACCAGTGCACAAAGTAAGTTCCATAAAGACATGGATGAGCGAGTTTGGGAAGGAGAAACTTGACTGGCCTGCACCCGACAGAACACCTTTGGGATGAATTAGTGCGCAGTCTGTGAGCCAAGCCTTCTTGTCCGACATCAGTTCCTGACCTCACAAATGTGCTTCTATAAGAATGGTCAAACATTCCATAGGCAGACTCCTAAACCTTGTGGACAGCCTTCCCAGAAGAGTTGAAGCTGTTGTAGCTGCATAGGGTGGGCCAACTCAATATTGAACCCTACGGACTAAGACTGAGATGCCATTAAAGTTCATGTGCATGTAAAGACAGGGGTCCCAATACTTTTTTCCAAATATATTGTGTGTGTGTGTGTGTGTATATATATATATATATATATACACATATATACAGACATACACTCATCGGCCACTTTATATTAGTCACACCTGTTCAATTGCTTGGTAACACAAATTGCTAATCAGCCAATCACATGGTAGCAACTCAATGCATTTAGGCATGTAGACTGGTGAAGATGACTTGCTAGAAGTTCAAACCGAGCATCAGAATGGGGAAGAAAGAGGATTTAAGTGACTCTGAACATGGCATAGTTGTTGTGCAAGATGGGCTGGTCTGAGTATTTCAAAAACTGCTTATCTACTGGAATTTTCACACAGAACCATCTCTAGGGTTTACAGAGAATGGTCCAAAAAAGAGAAAATATCAAGTGAGCTGTAGTTGTGTGGACAAAAATGCCCTGTTGATGTCAGAAGTGAATGGGCAGACCAATTTGAGATGATAGACAACGGTAATGTCAATACCTTGATCAGGTACTTCAAGCCATGCAGCTATCACTGGACTAAAAAGTAGGAGGGAATGGCTGTAAAGAAGCTAAAAGAAATTTGCAGCACTGAGATCTAACATAACCTTAAAAAAGGTGAAGTTTTGCACTTAGTTCTGCTTAAAGGATAGTCTGATTTGCAGTTCACTAATTACCTAAAATATCATCTTTCAGGCCCTGTCAGTGCCAAATCCATATTATTATATAATGTTACAGTCAGTACAAGTGTGGCTGTTCTAAAGGATATAATTTGCTATATTCAGGCACTGAACATTGCTGAGAGTCCTCAACACTACAGGATCAAAAATGGAAGGAAATTAAGAACTGCTTCACTGAGAATGACTCAGTGGGCAGTAAAGGCAGTCTCACGGGACAGTAAACTCGCAGTTGATGATACTTGGTAAGGGGGAGTCTGGTCCCAATAAGGAAGTGCAAATGAATCAGAGAGGATTTTCTGGCTAGAAAAAAGAAAAAGGGGCCCCAAAAAACTCCCTGGGTACAAGATCCAAGGCGGCTACAGGGTCTAATTTGTAGATGTATTAGGTCACTTGAGATTCACATTGAAGTTTATCTCCAGACAGAGATAACACACACAAATGAATGCAGTTTTTGTATTCATGAACACAAGATTAAAGCTGAACTCGAGGCACAAAAACTATCATTTTAGTATACTTCTTAAAAACCACGGAGGATCAAAATCGAATTTGTGTGCACCAATCGCTGTCAACCAGATGGTGTCATCATCACTGTATTGTATATAGCCTGTACAGAAAGCAGAGCTGTGGGAGGGGCCCAGCATGCCCCACCCACTTCAGGCTGCTTTCAGAAAACTACAGGAAGGCGTGGAAACAAGACCAGTCACCCTTCACAAGAAAAGAGCAGCCGTGACCGGTCTTCATTACAGGAAGCTTCTTTAGAGGAAAAGCTTTACACTGAATTAATGCACAGATCTGGAACAAACACACAAAGCACTCCAAGAATACACATGACGCTTGTATTTAGACAATATTTATGTATCTTAGAGTTCAGGTTTGAATGTGTTTTTTTAACTCAAGCCATGCAAGCGCCTGCATTCGATGTGGTTTCCGTTCACTATACAGCAGAGCTCAGGGTGGCCAAAAAAAATTAGCACATGGAGATAATAAGCTCTATTGCCACCAAGGCAAATATTATTTAAAAAAAAAAACTTTTATCTTTTAATGGACTAGATATTTTCTGTAAATCAGCTAATAATTAGCTTGCGTTTATTTGTTACTTATTTATCTTAACATAAGACCTCATATTAGGAGCCATTTATGCTGACATCTAGGTAATGCCAAAGAACTAAGAATTCCCAAAGTATTTACTTGTAACTGGTGTATATACAGGGTCAATCATACTTGTTTAAAAAATTGCATGCTGTGCTTTCTGCTTAGATGTGCTTCACAGTTACTGTGCTTTACTGCTCCTCTAACCTGCAGGCTAGTAAGAAAATGTCTGACTCCTGAACTGGACGAAAGACTCCACAGGAACTATAACCACACATAGGATGCCTAGAGGATGCACGCCTTGCTGCCCTCACCGGACCAGGGGAATCCAAATGAACTGCATGCAAAGAAACAAAAAAGAGGGCACATCGGCCTTGTGCATTACCTTTAAAAATTTATTTGCATAGTTACATAGTTAGTCTGGCTGAAAAAAGACAAAAGTCCATCCAGTTCAACCATTAAAAAAAAACAAACAAAAAAAATATAATCCTATACCCACAGTTGATCCAGAGGAAGGCAAAAAAACCTAGCAAAGCATGATCCAATTTGCTCCTGCAGGGAAAAAAATTCCTTCCTGATCCCCTGAGAGGCAGCCAGATATTCCCTGGATCAACTTTACCTATAAATCTTAGTAACCAGTTATATTCTGTGTATCCATGAAAGAATCCAGGACTTTTTTAAAGCAATCCACTGAGCTGGCCAGAACCAACTCTTGAGGGAGTCTAATCCACATTTTCACAGCTCTCACTGTGAAGAAACCTTTCTGTGTTTGGAGATTAAATTCCTTTTCCTCCAGACGTAAAGAGTGCCCCCTTGTCCTCTGTGATGGCCTTTTATATTTATTGTATAAAAAAATGGTGATATACTCACAAAGGATAAAATATCAAAGGCACATCATGTGAAGTACAGCAAAGTCCAATCAAACTTGTATTTATTACAGAGAGAAAGAGGCAAAGCCTCGAAACGCGTCAGCCATTCGGAGGTCTACAAATCCCAACACAGATATCATCCAGTTTGATTTGACCTTGCTGTACTCCACATGATGTGCCTTAGAAATTGTATCCTTTGTGAACATATCACCATTTTTATACAATAAAATGAATTTTTAAAGGTAATGCACAAGGCCAGAGCGCCCTCTTTTTTGTTTCTTTGCATGTAGTAAGAAAATGTGCTGGGTCTTACACTAGACTTTCACTACAAGCAGCCCATATAGATACAGAGATATTGAATGTTTTAAGAAAAGTAGGAGTAATAATAATGTCGCATTTAAATGTCATGTGATTATGTTTTGGTGCCTCCTTACAGTGTGCCAAATTACCAATACCAACACCAACAAAGCCGCACTGAGATCTCCCTGACAAAATTAAATAATAGGAGATAAAACACAGCAGTCCTGTCTATAGTTTGTAAGTCATGTTAAATATTACTAGCAGCTCTGTAATAAATAAAAGTATGGGATTTGTAAAAATACAATATTCTGTAATTTCCTGAAAATGGTCTGCAAGGAGCAATGCCTTCTGTCTTTCTACCACTAGATGGCAAGCCATTACTGATCCACACTGTTCTTTTCCAGAGACTCCAGCAGAGGGCTCACTGCTCTCATTTCAAGTTGCAGCCAAGCTGGGTCAGCTTGTAACATTTTCCTGTAAAGTCATCTGCAGTCATAAAATGCCATCCACTGTTGTGGCAGGTTTGACATTTTATTGTTTTCTGTGATGTACAAACAACCTCCTTGGGACACAGATGTTGGATGCTATTTCAATTATGCAGGCTGGAAATTAGCAGATAATATTCCATTGTAATCGAATGGCAGCACAGGGATATACTTGTATATCACATGAGATGATGCTGAAAATCTTTATAGTCCAAATTCATTTAAAATTAATCTCAAAAGCTTTTTTTCCTGTTTTCTGTACTTTGCCTCTGC